GAGGGAGGAAGGAATGGTACACCAGAGGGACTCTCCACGAGAGAGGAGGTGCATGAAAGCACTGATTTTGTGTGTGTGTCATATATATGTTATATAAAAATAATGTAATTATATCTAATAAATAATACGTCACACACACACACACACATACACACATATATAATGGCTGCAGAGGGAGGGACTTGAGCAAGGTGGTGTTGACAGAGAAAGAAGCACTGACTAGTCACTATACCATCTGCGCAAAGAAGTGGACCTCGCTGGGCCCTGCAGGTGAGCAAGAGGCTGAGGGTAGTTGAGGAAGACACACCGAGTGGCGGAAGTATGTTGAAAGGCAGGAGTCGGGAGGGAAAGAGGCAGGGAAAGGAGGTGAATTTGGAGGCATGGACTGGGGGAGCGAGGGCCTGGAGGACGTGGATGATGTCCCTTGGCTTTGGGAGGTCAAGGAAGGGTAGGTTTTGAAAGCCCCTCGTCACAGAGAGTGGCCTTGGGGAGAGCCGGACAGAGAGTGACAGATGGTGTCTACTCAGGGGACTGTGGAGATGGCAAGAGCCGAAGCTGTGGGAGAGATGGTGGCCGCCAGAGCAGGCGCAGAGGAGAGGAACTCTCTTTCGTATATGTTCATGCCAGCCTTGGACCTGGGGACACAGTGAAAAGACAAACATGTCACATGCCGTCCCTGAAGCTTCCGGCCCAGAGCAGACAGGCAGCCAGAGGAGAGTGCAGAGTTCTTGTAGGGTCTGTGGCAGGAAGTGGCATTTGAGTGATCGAGAACAACCAGATCATGAGGTCATGGTCAGGCCACTGAGTCTTATCTTGAGACAAATGGACACAGCACCCGGGCTTCAGGTGACAGAGAGCAGGGGCGACTTTGTAAGCCTGGGCACCCAGACTGATGGCTGATGATCTGCTGAGGTGTTACCAGACAGTTTGCACACAGGGGTATGAGCTTAATGTATTTTTTTCCTGCCAGCACTACTATTGATAGATGCAGAAATGCTCAAGAGATCATATATTACCCCTACAACTACATGCATGCCACACAATGCAGCAACATGATTGTATTAATGTGTGTGCCTCCACTCCTGCTTTGGACTGTTTTGGGGGGTAGAGGACAGGATCTCATCCCAGGCTGGTTCCAGTTTATTATGTAGCCAAGCTTGGTGTCACTCACAATCCTCCTGTCTCAACCTTTGGAGTGCTGGGATTGCAGGTGTGAGCCATTATGCCCAGCCACTGGGTCTTTTACAAAAATAATGTGTTTGGAACGGAAGAATCGTAAAACTTGAACCTTTTCTAATGAGAGGAGAAAATGGAGTGGGGGAGGGATGAACTAGGGTTTAAATTAGGAGCAAGAGTTCCCAGGGACACTGTGACCCCTTTCTAGCCAAAAGCTGAGGAGGTTGGTGAGGGAGCATGGTGACTGTGCCCCATATGCGACATCCACGGTTTTTCAGCCATGGCAGACAGAGAGAAGAAATTGTCTTCATAGCATGCTTGGCACACATGTTCCTGGTGCCCATGGGCTCTGCCTGCCCTGGGGAAAGACAGAAGTCATTCAGGCGTTGGTTCTCCAGTTTCCTGGGGGGAAGTGGGTGAGCCAGCCTTTAAACCAGAGGTTCTCAACTCTTGGGTCGCGACCCCTAGACTGACACAGGGGTGGCCTAAGACCATCAGAAAACAGATATTTACATGATGATTTGTAACAGTAGCAAAATTGTGATTATGAAGTAGCAATGAAAATAATTTTATGGCTGGGGGGGTCACCACAACACAAGGAGTTGTATTAAAGGGTCTCAGCATTAGGAAGGTTGAGAACCACTTTTAGACTCATGAATCAGTAGTGCCCAGGTGCCAGGGGAATGGGAGGGGCTGACTCAGATGATACATAGTTGGCCAACGGAGGTCTGTGGTCGACTGGAATGTGCGAGGCGTTTATATCCCTGCTGATTGGTGATGCAGCTTTCAAGAAGGACCTTAGTTCAACACGATCAGTTGTATTTTAATCAGTTATATTTCAGTTCATTGATAAAAAGGAAAAACTAATCAAGGGTGCCAGTCATCTCACTAAATTTTTTGTTGTTTATTTGGTTTGGTTTTGTTGTTGTTGTTGTGTTTTTGTTTTCGTTTTGCGGCAGTCTCCTAGCCCAGGCTGGCCTCAGATTCTCTCTGTAGTCGAGTCTACCCCGTCTCCACTCCCTGTCTCCACCCCCTGTCTCCACCCCCTGTCTCTACCCCCAAACACTGAGATTCCAGGTGCACTGGGTTTGCATCAATTGCTTTTTAAAAGTGTACCATGCCAACAACATTGCCTTCCATTTGCACAGAGCTTTACAGTATACACAAATCATTCTTACATCGTCTACACTCCATACACCCACCACCCAGAAAGTGACCAGGGGAAGGCCACTCGGCTTCCCACAGATGATGATCTAGAGGGTTGAGGAGTGAGTGATGGTCCTAATCCTACCACAGTGGCTCTCAGGCCCGGGCTCCCTCCTCTGCACCTCTGGGGGAAGCTGGCAGCGAAGGGCAGCCCCACCCTGTGCGGTGGACACTAACAGTGCCGTCCACACATCCCATTATCTCCTCTCGTCTCACATGATAAGACAGCCAGTGAGTCCCGCCCCACCCCGAGGTGGAGGTACTGTGGGAGAGGAACGAAGCAAGCCAGGCTGGAGGTGGGGGACCCAGCGACTCTTCACGGGTGCCTTGCTGAGAATCCCATGGAGAAAGATCACACTGAAAATTAAAATCTCTAGACAACAAAATCACTGCCACACATTTACCAAATTGCTCTCTTCTTGACCCTCAGACAAAAGCCCACAGCAAAAATCTTTCTGGAGAAAAGCTCTTAACAAAATGTGCTAAATTGGTAAGAACTCAGCATTCTGAGTAAAGTGAGACTAAACGTCTTTCAGAACTATTGGCTTCATCCTTCTTCAGTGCCACTTAGAAGAATTTAGGGAGGGGAACTGGGCAAACGGATCACACCTGTAATCTCGGGCAAGAGGATCACAAGGTCAGCCTCAGCTACATGGCAAGTGTGAGGCTAGCCTGGGCTACACAGGACCCTGTCTCACAACAACGAAGAATGTAGGGGCTGGTGAGATGGCTTAGTGGATAAGGCTTGTGCCACCAAGCTCAGGACCTAAACCTGACCCCCGGAACCCACCCGGTACAGACAGAGAACTGCCTCTCAGAGGTTCCCTGACCGCTACATGAGCACTACAGCATGTGGGT